GCGCCCCCACCGCCCGCGTCCCCCCCGGAGCCTCAGCAGCCCCCCCGGGCCTGCTCCTCCACTTCCATCAAAGTGGAAGGAGGTGGAGGGTGCGACCAGATCACCCCAGATGAGGAGCAGAGGCTGGGCCAAGCCGGTTTCATGCAGAGGCAGTTCGGGGCCATGCTCCAGCCGGGGGTCAACAAATTCTCCTTGAGGATGTTTGGCAGCCAGAAGGCCGTGGAGAGGGAGCAGGAGAGGGTTAAGTCTGCCGGGTTCTGGATCATCCACCCCTACAGCGACTTCAGGTACAATCCCCCCCTTCCTGATCCACTCCAAACCAGCTGGTCTGCCCTTTCCCACATGACCTCCTGCACCGTGCACCCACCCCAACAGAACTTTCCTTGCTCATCTTCTAGTCAGGGGAGCTGGAGGACACATCCAAGATCTGCTCCACTCAAACAATCTGCAGGTTTCATTTACATTTAACCTTAATTTTAGTGCCCCACACAATTATTAATTTTCAATTGTGTTTTTAAACCAGCAAATGTCTCTTGCTTTGGCTTAATGTAAGGGAAAGGCTCTCCTTAAGTTCAGTGTAAATGGGGAAAAATGTTCCCACCTGATGCACAACTCCAGACTAAAAGCGTGGTGTCTGCTGCTTAACTAGTCCTACATGCCCAGTTCAGAATGTGTGCTCTGCCTGACTAATGCTTCCCATTTTCACACCACAGAGTCCTTTCTCCCTTTTCCTTCCCCAAGAGTTAGGGAAGGATGTTGCTACTGTTGCTGCTCCTTACAGTGTCTTACTGCAGCATGGCTTGTCAGGAATTGGTATGTGCAGGGGATGGCAGCATTCATTGAGAAGGAACTTAACACCTTCAGAGTCTTACAGAGAAAGATCCTCTCTTTTGCATCTGTACATCCTTATTTCCAAATTTAATTTGGATAGGGAATAGTTAACACTGGCTTTATGAAAGTAATGGCAACATTTCCATGGAGGTTAATAAGGAAACTAACTTGTAAACCCTAGAGCCAGTTTTTGTGTAGTTCTGCACAGCAGAGGGGTTGTGTTTGGGTATTTCTGAGCAAAGTATCATCTACTGCACAGGTGAATTGTCCTCTGCAATATGTATGTAAAGTACTGCAATCAATAATTAATTACTGAGTGCAATCAATGGCTAAGGTTTATTGCTTCAACTTTAATTACAACAGGCTTACATCTCACATTTAAAAGCACATGGTAGAAGAACATTATTCAAACACATATCTGTCACACTACATGATTTTATTGAATTTTTGGACTCTTCACAAGAAACCTGGTAATATTGCCTAAAATACAGTTAGCAAGGTAATTGCAGGAAGGAGCTCCAGGGTGGATTTGGGTGCCCAAACAGCCATGTCAGAAACCTCTTGACACTACCTATTAGGGATTTAGCAAGTAGCCCACACGCTGAGCAGATTCAGCACTGGCACTGACCAGATTCCTTGATATTTGCTTGGATTAACAAATGTTATTAGAAGGCTATGTGAGTTGGAAGACTGCACTGTCATTTAAATTCAGTGCATTCAAGTGTCCCAAGCACACAGCTGAGTGAGCTTTTGAGGGCTTCCAGTAGCTACAGCATTATACATAGTGCTTGCAAGCACAATCCTGCCCAATCCCAGACTGGAAGGACTATAAAATAGCCTCCCAGTTGGGACTGATCGGGTAATAGCTCACAAACACTGAGATGTGACACTGATCAGCTTTAAAAAGAGCAAACCCTAATTCATACTCTTGGCTGTAGATCTTTGTGTTATTTGCTCCAAGCCTGGAGTTAAAAACTAACAACTGTGTTTTCCTGGGTTATTTTAGCAAGGTGTTCTCTGTATGTCACACCCTCAAGGAATTTTGCATTTAGTCTCTGGACTGTATTTGGATTTATGCAAAAGCAGCATTCAGTTTGCATGTCTTTGTGTCTCTGTATAGTGGGTCTATTCCCTTCCATCCTTATGACTGTTTCAGCATAGAACCAGCCTGGCAAACTTGAGAGCAGTAGCTGAGGTAACCACCTTGCCCAAGGTGAGATGGTCCTAAGAGTTTGGATTTTTAAGGTTCCTACTGAACCAGTGCTTATTCGTTAAAATGATGAGGTAAGTTTTTATTTCTGAGGCACTTGGCCACTCCTAGCCTTGCACAAAGGAATGAAATATGCTGGCAAGCTCCAACTCCCCCCAGCCAGATGATCCCACCGAGCACTGAGCTGTTGTGTGCATGCAGATCTCTATGAATGCATGGATGACTCTTGATATTAGAACATAATCCTGCCCTGACATAGCTGGGAATTTGTGCAGAGAAGGCACAGTGAGTTGGGTGTCTGTACCCTGGGGCAAGACCTGCTTGGGGGCAGATTCCAGGTGGGCTGATATCTCCCTGCCTTGTGTTTCTTCTGAAGTGGTGTGGAAGGCCAGCACACCAACATGGGCTGTGTCCCTGCTGTCACCTGCCAGCCTCGGATGGGGCAGTGGGACTGAGGGTGCACAAGGCCAGGGGGAGCTGGAGGCACCACTGTCTGGTCAGGAGGGATATTTTGGGGGGAACTTTGCTCACCCCTGTCCCTAGGTCACTTGCAGCATGTCTGCTGGAATATGGATGCTGCTTAGAGAACAGGCATGGGCTTCCAAGGAAAATGACCTGTGAACAAAGGCTGCCTTGAAGGAGAGGAGTGGGAGCCTTCCAGATTCTGCTCAGGCTTTGTATTCCTTCTTCCCCTCTACTAAAGCATCTGTCTTGGAAACAACTCCCATGAATACGAATAGCGTTTTTTGACCTCTGGGATGCAGCAGACTGCACCAAAGAGCAGATATTACCAAAATATTTGCAATATCCTTGACCCAAAGGAGTGTGGTTTGTGCCTTGAGAATTACGCAGTGCAATGCCCAGGTGCTCCGTGCTAGAGATGGGTGCAGATCCCGGAGCAGTCGGAATGATCATGGAGGAATGAGGCTCCATTATCCTGCACTTTGCTGTCACCAAAGCTGTGCAGCAGCATTTGGGGTACCAGTTTCAAGTTAATAATTATTTAGACCCCGAGCTTGCTTTCTGTCTTTTTGGAGAAACCAGTTTCCCCTCTGAGAGAGAGGTGCATCTCCAGGCATTTTGGTGGAGCTCCAGACCTCGTGACTCCTGTCTCAGTACAGCTTGAGATGGGAAGTTTTGCATGGAACACTCCAGCCCAATTTACTGCTGCGAAATGACATTGGTGTAATTCTCTGACTTCATGGAGTTGCTTCTCCTTGCACTGTGCGAGAGGAGTTCCTGATTTAGAATAGAACAAAGGCTTTCATCATTGTCTCATTAAATTATCATTTTAGCATCTAATATGGCTAATTCCAGTGGCAAATCTATGACCCTCCAAGAGTAAAGCAGATTAATATAGATTCAGGCTCTGTTGATTTCTGCTTTTAGTCCATTGTGAGGGGAAAAGACATCAAGTGACCTTTATAAAAACCAAGCTCAGTGCCCCTGAGTACTCCTGACTAATGCAGTGGGCTGGTTCTAGAAGCTCTTAAAAGGTGTCTAATGAAAATCAGAGTACTGGCTTCTCTTCTGAGGTGCAGATGTATGTGCTGGCTGCTGGAGTTTGTTTGCATCCGTGGCTGATCGCACATCGGTGCAGAGCCAAACTGTATTTCCGAGATCAACATTTATCTGTGACTTTGAAAGCTTTTTCACTGGGTAGATAGAATTGTTATGAGAGAATTGTTATGTATTGCTTAGAGGAAGCATTGATCCAGTACAATTGGTTTAATAAAAAAATTCCAGGCAAACAACGATCTGTCTAGTTTGTAGCTGACTGAAGCATATGGGTTGTAGCTGCTGCCCAGAATTGCTTGCAAAAAAAGTGTAGCATGCTGCTTTTAGAAAGACCTGAGAACAGATACACTATCTGAGGGACCAAAATAGTCCAAACAGTGGATGTAAATAGAACTGCACATTATTCACTGCCCAGTAATCTATTAACTTCTTCACAGAGAATAGAAGCTGCTGTCTCTTTGAAAACAATGGAAAACATTCCACTCGGTAACAGACACAGCTACAGATTTTAGATTTTTTTCTCTTCTCTGTTCTCCCTTACTTGTGATACTTTCCTGCAAACAGATCCATTATTTCATTTGCTTCCTCTGCCAGAACTCCCTGGCTGCTGGGACCCTGGGGAGATTTCTGTGGCACCAAAAAAACAGATGCTCAGGTGTGAGGTATAAGGTAGGGAGAGAACAAAATCATTTGCTTCCCGTCATGCTGCAGTGTCATGCAGCCTGCCTTCTTTGGGGGAATCAGTGGGATCTACTAATTACAGTCCAAACATCTGCACCCAGTGTCACTGGTGGGACTGAGCAAAGGTGGGAAGGATGTGTGGCTACCTTTCCCACTCTCCTGAGCAGACCTGATTTCCAGTCTCTCGGAGTGCTGCTCTGTCTGGAGACTCTTTTCCCTGAGAAGCTTTTCCCTGTTCTGTTAGAAGGGTAAACAATTTGTGGAGTGTCCAGCAGTGCTCACTGACTTTGGCAGCTCCCTGAGGTGGGTGCTGCTCCCTGCTCTCAGACAGTAATGCCCTTTTTTTCTCTGTTTTCTGCCCAAAATGCTGCTTCTTGTGCTGGCCTCGCTTCATTGCTGCCCACGCTCAGGGGCTGCCCACAGTGGCAGCTCTGATCCCATGACTTGCCCTCTGCTCACAGCAATGAAAGTGCCCATTGTGTGAGCTGAATGTACAGCACATGGAAGTTCTGGGTCAGGGAAAGCTCTGCATGGAGGGGAAGGTCAGGGAGCATTGGAGTGGCAGCAGAACCTGTGTCTGTTGTTGGAATCCAGCGGGAAGTGTGGACAGGCCCAGGTTTGGAGGGGCAGCTCCCAGCCTTGGATCTCTTCTCTTCCTCTCCATGCTGGTGGTGTGTTGCCTTGGAATGACATGGGGATGCTGCAAGCTGAGGGGGGAGTCAGATCCTGCTGCCTTTGCTGCACAGAACTTTCCTGCCAATTCCCAGGGCAGTTTGCTGGAGCAGAACGAAGGGATCCAAGCAGGAATAATATGAAGGGTAATCCAAACTGTGCTGAGCAGCATGGATTTGGTTTGTGTTGCCTCCAGTGGACTTGGAATCAAGTTGCAAGAGAAAAAATGTGGGTTTGTAGCCATGAACTAAGGGAATCAAACTATTGCAGCCATATTTCCCATGTCCATGGGCAAGTCATCACATGCTTCACACCCCAGTTCACATGTGGAAAGTAAATAATCCCACACTAGACAATCCATGTAGGAATTTGTGT